TTCAAGGCCATCATTCATAATGTAATGTGATCCTGTATTTAACACAGTATTCTAAATAAATCTGTCCCTACAATTAAATTCAGTTTCTAAAAGGTTAAGCCTAAATTTGGCTTCAAACTCCAACTTGTATGTAGGAAAATTAGCAATTTGCTAAGTCTCCTCTCAGTAAACTTCATTAGCTTAGTCTGTTCTGGGGTACAGACATGAATTACTGAACTGCTGTTCTACAAGTGATTTTGGATCTGGCTGGGTATCTTCTCCAATAAGAATTGCAGACACAACCTATTAATCTCAAAGCTTTGAGGGAGAGCTGGGTTAGGAGCAGGGTTAAAGGTAATGAGGAATAGTGGTATAAAATGTTACAGCATTACACAGAAATACTTTGAGGATGATATTGCCTAAAAAATATTTATATATACACAAATATATATAGCAGTAGTTACACAGATAACAGTATAGTATTTAGAGCAACACAGAAACAGATCTCTTTGCTTTGGGTGCTTAACATAGAAGTGGAGATGACTTTCACAAAGGCATTTATTGATGACCTGTGTGGTTTTAGTAATACTTCAGACAGTGAAAGTTTTTATATAATCAAGGTAAGCTTCTATGATATAAAACTATGGCTATTGAAATAGAAAACATTTAACATTCATGAGTTACAAATTACAACTGCACGAAAATATTGAAAAAAACCCCCTAGGTTTTGTTATCTAACTTGCCAACTACAAAGCTGGTGCCCATGGCACTAGTTCAGTAAAAAGATCACACAATGCTGTTCTCAGACATGATCTGCTCTGTCCCCATCCCTTGAGTGTCCTGCCACATCTGCAGAGCTTGCTGGTGACACTGAGCTTGAGCTGGGCTGTAGCATTGAGGGTTTGTTAGTTCAGCCTTGGCTGGGAGGTCGCTGTGGAGGTGCACTCAGTGATTGATGGAACAGCCCTCACTTTGCACTAATCTGAAAGATTTATTCTTTTTGTCTGTGTGTGTTTTTCCCCCCAGTCTGTTGCAAAACCATAAATAAATATTTACATTTAACACTTAATATTTACAAATTCAACAAGTCCCTGTTTTAGGCCTTCAACCATCCTCTCCCAAGGATTTGTTTCTTCTTTCAGTGGCAAATATTTCCCTGGGAATACCTGCACTTAAGTATACTTAAAAGGAGGTCAGGTTTATCAAAAGAAACCTTTGTTGAAGCTATTCAAGCAAAACTAGAAAACTTACTCTAGTCTCTGCTGCTGTCACAGTTTCACGTAGACAACAGAAATAGTAATGCTGGCAAAGTAAAGGACTTTTAGTCTTGTGCTTACTCTGCAACCTCTTGATTAACAATGTAAACATGAGGAAATTGTTAGGCCAAGAAGCCAGATGAATTCCTGCTCTATCTGTAATGGTTTTGTTGGAATTTGGGCTAACCAGTGTAGATTATACAGTATGATTTAGAATGGGTGTACAATGAGCAAGCAAGCAGGGAGTAGAGCACAAAACATGAGTCATAGAAAGTACTGTTGCACAATAAATAAAAATAGATGTTATGCATGTGCATGTCAAATATGTAATTTAGTAATTATTCAGCAGAAATAAAAGGTGGCTGTTCAAATAAATCAAATTGTGGTGGAATGAGGGCTGTAATGCCTGCATTTAGGATTATATGCTGTTCCCATTAGTACTGACTTGGGTTCCTCACAACAGGAGGGTACAAGGACAGACTAAGAGTTTGTAGTATTTTACGGTCATCACAGGAATGAAAAGCACTGTGGATATTCCTTTTAAAAATAACTGCATACTATTGCATATTAATAGTTTTAACTTGGTGTTTTTTAAGCTAATGGGAGTTTGTTCTTAAACATCTACAGCCAGTTTTCTTTTGTTATTAAGAGGACTCAATCTAAAGTTCCCCAAAGATGGAAGAGCCAAATCTTACCCCCTCCTTTGCTGGCATTGGGTAGGTCCTTGCACCAAAGAATTTTCTGCCCCTCAGTAGGGAGCACAGAGCCAAGGGTCCCCAGCAAAGGCCAGACTGTCCCCTCTGCCTGCCCCATGCACAGCTGGGCAGGGGAGCGTAAGGCTCAGCAATGATGTGTTTCTCAGTGCCTCGGTTGCAGATACATGATGGAAGTGGTGTGGATGTCCATCCTGTGGGCTCTTCCCTTGGCTGTCAGTTTGGGGTGTTGGGAAACTGCAGCATCTGGTTGTGCACAGTAACTCTGTGCTCCTGTGCTCCAAGGAGTTTACTTTCTGCTGCTACCCAGTTAGAGTTGCTGGAAAGTTTTATCTCTGGGCCCTTTTCGGTATCTGCTGATTTGTTGGTTTTATTATTTTTTTTTTTTAAGGAGCTGGCATATTTGGCAGCTGATGATTGTTTCCTTACTGCTTGGGAGAACAAAAATTTCCCTGCTTTATTTAGGAAAGCTTTCCCCTCCACTTTCTTTGCCTATCGATTCAAGGTCTGTGCTGCCCTCAGAGCACACCAGGTGCAATCCCTTCCTACCTTTGCTCCAGTAACACAGCTGAATGTGCATGCTCCTGCTCTTTCACATGGCACAGGCAGATGCAGGTGGCACCAGTAGCTTAGGATACACAGCCTCTTAAAACTGCAGGATCTGGCATGAAATGATCAAGATGAGTAACCAATGGCTTTGATTTTTACGTCTTCTCTTTGAGACGGCTCTTGTAGTAATGCAATCAATGTTTTGAAATGAGCTCCCTGCTGTGGTCATTGGGGACACTGGGTTTCAGTGACCAGAGGGATGAGCAGGTGATGAGAAAATGCTTGCTTAGACCCTGTCAAGGAAGTTACTGGCCTCCCAGATGGACAAGTTTGTGTTTTTTTTATAGAGGAGTTTATCCACAGATGAGGATCTTCAGATCCTTCAGGTGGCAGGGAAGTGTTGCGGTTTCTTCCTGTAACAACTTTTGAGATGTAAAGCAAATTTGTGGCTGCATCCAGCGGGTGGCAAGCACAGCATGCAGAATTATGGCTGGACAGAGATGCTTCTGCCAAGGGAAGCTCCTGATGCTGCTCAGCATGTGCATGTGTCTCCATGAACAAAATACAGATAAATGGGAATCTCTGCCAGCCTTTTGTCAGCTTAGAGAGGGCTGGGGCACCTGTCCCCTTCTGGGTGCTATTGATAATGCATGGGATTAGTGCCACATTCAATTTAAGCAAATGGCTGTCTCACATGTAAGCATGTGAGCTAAACACAAAGTATTCAGTATAACAATTTAAATATGTCTTTAAATGCCATAGTTAAATGACGTTCAGGCTTCAAATGTCAAGATGCTGGCTTGCAATTAAATTAACTTAAAGTTTTAATGAAGGAGAGTTTTTTTTTATCAAACAGCTTTAGAAGTTGTGACTCATCAGAGTGCCTTGCAATGTATGAGTAGATGCATTGTTCCCATTTTTGCAGCTGGATGAACAAAGGCAAAACTGAAAAAAAGTCCCTTAGAATAGGTGAAGGAAAGAATAGGGAGATTTCTAGACCTGGCTGTAGTCCCATTTTTTCCTTAAAAAGTATTAAACTACAGGAGTAACTGTTTTGTTGTGTTTTGATTTCGATAATCAGAAAATATGGATAATCCAACCACTCGCTACTTGAGACAAAGCCACATTGTATGCATGATTTTGAAGATAATAAATACTGTAAATCCTCAAGGGGCATGTAATTTTCTAGATGATATATGTAAAGTTTTGGATTTTTTAAAGTTTTGTAATGTCAAAAAGTACTTATGAACTCCTTTATCTTTGAAGACAATAAATGGGTGTGAATCAAGCATAAATATTATCTGAAGCTCATTATTTGAGGTAAAAAGGACACATATGAGGATATCATTGGTGGAAACTTCCCACAGTGCTTGTCTCCTTTCCTCTTGATTTGCACTGAGAATTTGAGCCAGACTTTAGTTCTGATTTATGCTAGTATAAATCTGAATTTGTTCCATATAAATAAATAATGTTCTACAGGGAGAAAATACTCTGGGCGTAATTTTAAATAAATGGAGAGAAATTCCATAAAAACCAAGAGTAAAGTTTGATCCTGGATGTTTTGTGATGGGACTAAAAGTATTATTAGATAAACTGATGCATAAGCATTGTCATATTTTTGCTTATCAGTATATGAGTTTACTAAATGTGCAGGAATTTGAAATTTTTAAATTTTAGTCATACAGAGTATGGAGTCAACTCCCTCTGCATATAAAGTTCTTCAAAGTCAGAGTGGCATATTATGAGGAAAGGCTGAGTGAACCCCATTTCTGTGCACATACACAGTTATTAACTATTACAAAAATACCCACTGAGATATAAATGTACATTTCTGAAGCAATGTTTGAAATGTATGAGTAGGAATATAAATCTAAAAATATATTTATTCTATATTTAATTTAATTTTATTGCATATATTATTATGAAAAAACTGCCATTAAAAAAATAGTAGCATAAATCAGAATAACACCAATTTCAAGGAACTTATATTTCCATTTGAGTTTAAAATTGGGCCTCTATATATAGCATATATTTGAAAATATATTATAAATATGATTATAGGACATTTATGTAATTAAAAATCAAAAAAACAAGAAACAAAGCTCCACTTCTTCAACAGAATAGCTCACATACATGCAAGTCAGGTTCTTTGTATTTAATGTTACTTATTTATACAAGTGCTTCCTTTTGAAACACCTGTGAACTTAAGTTAGGAGTTTTCCCTCCCCTTCTTTCATAGTTCCAAGCAAATGGTGGGATGTGGCAGGAACTGTGACACACCTGTCCAACGCTTAGGCTGCTTTCAGTAAAGTGAAATGAAAACAAAGCAGCCCTCTTTGCAACGAAAGCTCTAAGGCCACTGCTGACTCGTTACAGTATGATTTCTCTGAGGTGATCCAGTGTTGCTGTAATGAGCTGTGATGTTCAGGACCACAGATGAATCTCGTTGTTCTTGGTGCTTCCACACACAAGGCTGTTCCAAAGAAGAACTTTGTGCAATGCCTCAATTGGTATCAAAAGGCCCGGCAGTCTTTTTGGTGTGCAAGCGGATATTTTCTGGTGGCCGATAGGAGAGGGAGCTCATTTTGGTTGTGAGGCTTGGATGTGTGCTGACATTTGGTGGGATGTATTTAATTAGCTGAAGGAAGTATTTTTTAAAGTTTTTTCCAAAAAACACATAAAAAAAGGGATTCAGACAGTTGTTAAAGTAAGCGATACAAATGGTGAAGGGCATAGCTGTATCCACTATATCAGTGATTTTGCAATCTGTTATTACATGTAATTGAATCAACACATCCAGAAAAGTGAACACTTGATGAGGAATCCAGGAAAAGAAAAAGAAAAACACAATTGCTACAATCATCTTGAAGATATCATCATTTCTAGTCTTATTTTTTTGAATTTGATATGCCTTCTTCAGTGTCTTCCAAATTAAGGTGTAGCTCGTTAAGATGATCAGGAAAGGAACTAAAAAGCCCAGCAGATTTTTGGATAAGCCCAGCCCGACCCGGAGCGTGGTGTTGTTGCTCTCGTAGCGGAAGCCGCAGACCGTCATGTTGAGGTTCTCGGCGAAGAAGATGTTGCGGTGGATGATGACGGGCAGGCTGGCCACGCCGGCCAGCAGCCAGATGGCCACGCAGGTGCCGCGGGCCACGGACACCGTGCGGCGGATGCGCGACTGCACCGGGTGCACGATGGCCAGGTAGCGGTCAATGCTCAGGCACGTCAGCAGGAACACGCTGGCGTACAGGTTGAAGCTGATCCCCGCCGAGGCCAGCTTGCACAAACAGTTGCCAAACGGCCACTGGTACTCCATGGCCGTGTAGGCTGCCCAGAGGGGCAGAGTTATCAGAAAGCACAAGTCAGCCAGGGCCAGGTTGAGCAGAAAGATGCTGGCTACGGTTTTTAATTTCATGTAGCAGTAAATGACAATGACGACCAGGCTGTTCCCGAATATGCCTATGATAAAGATGATGCTGTAAACAGTTGGAACCATAATGTAGATGTAGCTGTGCCGTCCTGAAACAGGACAGTCCACGTGGATTCTTTTAACAGTTTCTTCAGTAGAATAATTTGGGATCATCTTCAACTTCTCAGCTGTAACCTAGCTTCAGGGAGAAAAGATGAAGCTCACACCTAGGAGGGGAAAAGAGGAAGAAAACAGTATTTGTGACAGGAATTTAATTTTTACCAATTCTCAACTAAATGTCAATTTTTTTCAAGTGTAACACAATGTATCAATGTTTTTGAATTTGAAAATAAGCCATCTTCAAGTGTTTTAACAACCAATTTCTATTTTAATACAGACTTTGCAGAGTAAAACAGCGGTAAGAATGTTAGGAGTAGGCTGAACATTTTTAGATTATTTTTAACATAAACCTCTTCCAAATTAAAATAATACTGACTAGTGAGCATATGTCAAAAATCATAAGAGAGACTGAAAATAGCATATAACTATAAATTCAGCAGAGTATTTAGATTATTTTCTTTCCATAAATAGGTGACATATTTAATGAGAAGTTATTCAGATATCTCAGAAACTAAACTTAAGCACTCTGTATTTACATACTTAATTAGTATTCAGAGTGCAATGAATTAAGAAAATAAGTGACTTTAGATTAGGTACTCATTTGTATCTCTGAGATTAATCACTAGAAATTTATTTATACATTGAACTTAATTCTTTGAGAAAATTTTTACATCACGGAGAAAGATGAAAACACACAGTCTAGTATTCTATTGTACCAAAAATACCTTAAATATTCAGAGGTTACTTAGCTCCCCATCTGGCTTGGAAAGATGGCATTTAACTACTAATGAGGGGAAAAAAAATCTGAAAATCCAGACATGTCCAGATCTGTTGTACATTAATTTACTGTACAAAGAGTTTAAGAAGGGTGCAAGGGGGAATATATTACTTTTTCAGTTGCTGACAAAATTTATATAACCAAGTTGAAGGTGTATTTCTGGATCACATTAAGTGTTCAGCAAGGGTATTAAATCTCCTTTAAAGGGCACCTGCTTGGTTTGCCAAGGCCTGTGTGTTTTGTAAGAATCATTTCTTTATTAATGACTGATTACTTTAGAAAGCAGGTAATAGAGTGTAAGTGACTCTAATATTCATTACTTTCCAGAGTCTAAAAACAGTCTTCCCTGAATAATAATGGATGTTTAAAAAAAATTATAGTTATTATGGCAGAGTAGTGTTTATTGCTGCTTGCAGGATCCAGCTATAAGCCAAACCTAACTTGTGCTGCCTAAAACAAAGATTAACTCAAATACTTTGGCTTCTAAACCAAAGCAAAGCAAATCCCAAACAGCAAAGAAACCCTTTATAAATGGAAGACCCACCCTAAGTCCCTGGGCAGTACAGATGCACTCAGAAAGCAAAGGTGCCATCCTTACAGACACAGCAGTGATGCCACTGATGCAGCTGCTTGTTATTTGAGTGCTTCTGCACTGATGTTCCTTTTGAGATCAGAATGCCACTGAGTTTAGTGTTTGACTGGCTCTTGTTGGAAGACAAATCTTTTTACAAATGACTGTATTTATAATAGGGAAATGAGGCACAGGTTTGTTTCATCAAAACCCACACAGGAAGTCTGAAGGAGCCAGGAACTGAACCCAGTATATGGGTTGCAGGAAGCATCTTGTGAGCAAGGTCACCCTTTGGCTCTTAGCCTTTTGAAGACTTGTTATTTCTCTATCTTAGCTCATGTTGTAGCATATGTTTGCATTCATAACCTGATTCATTTCTGCAAAGCTAGCAGGGTGATGTCAAGGTTTAGGTTTTTGATAGGTAATAATTCTACCAAGTTGAGAGCATGTAATAAAATGCAACTAATAGACACTTTGTCAAGATGTGCCATGCAACACTTCCCAGTCCCTTCAATTCATTCTGTGTATTAGTCTTGATGCTTCAGTTGGTATACAGGTCTCAAAGTGACATCAGCTATTTTTGCCATGTTTGAGAAATTAACAAGACAAGCAAACAGCTACCAGAAAGAAAAAATTTGCTATTTTGGTCACACGTGGCACTCTAGTACATCCTGAGCAAAACCTGGCTTTTAAGCTGTGCCAAATCTCAAATACAAGGTGTTGGCTCTGTGGAAGGTCAGCCTATCCCTGGGACAGGGAAACCACAACAGAAAGATTTCAAGATAAGTCCTTTTATCTCATCTATGGTTATGAAAGTAACTTTGACAGTAACTGATGTGTTCTGCAACATCAAGGTCTGGCAACATTTGCCCTGTCCCAGCTACAGGGTGGTGCAGCATGGTCACTTACAGTTTTTCCCACTTATATGCCCAGAACTTTGCAGTGGGAATCTGGAGTGAAGTTTCTGCTCAGGAGATCACCTGTGCAAGTTGACTGGCAATAATATGGGTCAGGCCTTGGGCAAGACCTTTCTCAGAGACAAGATTCACCAGTCCCTGTGAACCCTGGTACCATTTGGTACAATTTGGCTCTGTGTGTACTGAGTGACAGACTCAGTGTTTAAGGCAAATGCAGCTGAGGGTGAATATTCCCTTTTGGTGGGGTTGATTCTGGGCAATGGTAGATGCCAAGGCAATTTTCCCATGGTCTCCTCACACACCCCTTCAGTGTACTGCATTGTGATGTTTTGCTTCCAATTTCCCTTTCTACCCACATGGTGACCTGTACTGTTTCATGTCTGTAGCAGCTTTAGCTGATACTAATTAATAGCATATGTTCTTTCAAGAAAGAGTAACGGTAATTCTATTACATTTTCAGAAATGTGTTAAAATAAAAAATAATTCAGTTGGGAATAATTGTCTGGCACTCTGAGAATTGCCTGAGCATATTCTGGAGTGCTTGGGAAATAAAAAGAGGCAGAACAATTCCCATGAAGAATCAGGAATTTTGTCAAGAAATAGTATTATACTCAATCTTCCTTTGTGAGACTGTATAATCCTTCTGGAGGTAAAAGGTTTTGGTGTAACACTGATGTCAGTGAAATTGTGCAAATGATGTGTCTGGTACGCTACCACTTTTAAATTATACTAAGGAATTACAATCAATAATTAAAATAAATCTATCAATATTTTCAGTAAATGACAAGAAATCAGAAATATGTCATGTGGTTGCTTTGGGTAAACACATATGGTTTGCCATCTGGGTATCTGAAAACTGAATGAACTGAACTGTGAGAATGAACCTCATAGGAGCTGTACAAATGAAGCACACTAAGGAAGGCACTGCTAATCCCAAATGGAATTTTTAAATTTCCTGGAAATTCTAAATTTTCAGAGCTAGCCTCAGGTGGATCTGCTTCTTGAGCACAACTGTAACTTCAGAGCATTAGGAGAACTTCAAAGTTGGAGAAGGTAATTTTTTTGGGAAGGCATGGGCCCAGGGCTGTGCTGAGTAGTGTGAGGGCCACTGCAGCAGTGAGTTCCTCACAGGCAGTAATTTCTTTCCCATACCACCTTCAGTTTCTCCTGTTATTTTCACTTGCCACAGTTCATCTGCTTGTCCCAGGATCAGGGTTGCACACATACAAAGCAGATGCTGGCCAGTTAAATGTGTACATTAGGTTGTGCACATTGATAATTCCATGTAAAGCATCTCAAATGACCTGTGTTAACATAATGATAATTGGATCACTTTAAGGCTGACACACAAGGTGCTTTTTCTAACAGGATTGAATTGTGACTGTGAATGGTGTGGTGGGCATCAACTTCCAACAAATTATCTGGTGAGCAGTAAGTACCTGTTCTGAGGTACTGTCCTGCTTGACCTTCTATCTTTTTTAATTACAATGATTACAATAAGTCACTGATAATGAAATTCTTCAGACTGCTCAACCAACTATTGTTTACCACTCCATTCATTGCTTCTGTTGGGTGAACATGCATCCTAATTAAAGTGCCTGTGGAAACAAGGAATGCTGGGCTCATGCAAGATAAACAGCACTTAGCCTACTGAAAGATAAGATAGCAGTGGCTGTGGCTTTCTCTGAGAACTTTGTCAGCTAAAAATAGGTAAGCAGGTGTCACAAGTCAGATTTTGAACAAAAATGTATTTAATATTTGCTTTGACAAAGACTAAATAAACTCAGGCTGACCAATCCTGCTACAGCTCATCCACCTTATCACTAGATAATGTGCACTTTCCTTCTGACAGTGGGTGGGTTATTTGCTTTTCTTACAAATGAGAAAATAGTTCCTTATTTGAGAGGATACTGCATTCTATTTTTATGTAAAATTTTTGCACAGGGAGAAAATACAATGAAAAATGTTTGGAACAATATGTTCAGTATATTAGCTATATTTATTTCTTTCTGGTGGCATAAACTTTCCTTTATCTTAAGAATTTAGTTCCCTCCTTTCCTAATTTATTCTAACTGCTGAGAAAGTAATGACACTTACACATGCTTTATTGCAAAGGCTTTTGGGGTCTTTTTCTATCCCATAGAGTAACCCCTTCTCTCCTCATGTTCTTAGTGAATAGAGCAACTTCTATTTTACACCCACACTTCAGCACCTTCTGTGCTTTCCTGGAGTTCCTGAGCAGTACCATTGTGAAGGCATAGATTTACCTTTCTCCTGGCTCTTATTTCTTCAGCTAGTTCTAACACTCTGTATTTCCCACTGATGGCTTTCCTTAAATATCTTTAATCCAGACTTGATAGCTGAATTGTAAAGGGAAAGAGAAATACAAACAAGGGTACATGATTCCAACTGTGGGGCCATTACAGGGGGCTCTTGTCATCACTGCTGGTACCTTCCCTAGAGGTCAGCATCTGACTTTGTGACAAATGCCAATAAATCAAAATACTACTGGAAAGGAGCTGTGATAGGCAGTACAGCACCAGACGGGGCTGTACATCAGCTCACAAACACCAAGAGCACAAAGCAAACCTCAGCAGACCTGTGTTAGCAGCTGTCAAGCTGCTCTGCAATTTTGGATCAGGAGGTGGTCTGACATCAGAACAAACAGAACTCGCAGGACCTTGTACTGTAGCATTTTCTTTTAACAACTGTGCAGCTGAGGCAGCTGCCAGTCTGTTGAAATTGCTGTTAATTTTTTGATGTTTGCTTTATTTATTTAAAAGTATGT